GGAGAGATGCTGGGTCCCTTGAAGTGGGCAGTGAAAAGAGAGGAAGATAAAGAGATGAAGGAAATTAAAGTGTTTTGGCCGTTTTTGGATTTGTTTTCGTTCCACTTTCAGTTGTTTTCTACGAGATGTGAAATGAACATCAATAACATCCATACTCCACGTCCACATACAGTGGTATAACTGAGTAACATGTGCACAAAATATACAGAAGTGTGAATAGCACAACATTAGTGGACCACACATGGTTACCAGTAGTTCTTGAGCCACATATGAGCAATTCATGTTACTAATTAATAATGAAAAATCAATATACATCACTGTGTATAGAAATGTTTAAAAGTTAGCAAAATAGTTAAAACGTTCAGTTAGTTAGCAAATTGTTGATAATTATCCAGAATTAGCCAATATTAGCTTAACAATGGTGAAAAAGTAGTTTTATTCAAATACATTTAGCCATAAAGTAGCTAGAGAAAAATACATGATAAAATAATAATAATAAAAAAAACAGGTAACATTTCTGGATGACCTCCTTTTCTGCTACTGTTAAAACCACAGCAAATTGCATTTTCTTATAATGACGGAAAGGTTGTGAGTCGCTGGCTGTTTTTCAGAGCTGGATTGAATGTTGGGTTAATACAGAGAAAACTGGTAAAATATGAGCGGAGTAAGAGGGAAAACGCTATTGTTTGTCATCATGCAGACTAATGCAGAAAACTGTGAGCAAGATTTAATGCTCTGTAGGCAGAAATGATTAAACACCTATTGTTTTTCTCCTCCTGGTTTACTTTTCCCTGTGAAATGTAGCCTAGTTTCAGGGGATTACAGAATTAGGTTATTGGTGCCTTATGCTGTTTGTGGAGGAGCTGGAACTGCAGCAGTGTAAATACATGTATGAAACACTGAAGCCAAGTGAATGTTGTGGTTTTAATTCCTTTTATTTCGTTAGTTACAGTGATAGAAGAAATCCAGTGCATTTATGAGGGTCTGAATGGCCCGTGGAGAGGACAGCAGGTGCCAGAGGACGCAGTGTAATAAACATGTTGAAGGAGCAGCTGGGGCCAAATTGCACCCTCGTCATTCAAAGCCTATCAGAAATCTAAGCAATACAAGCAAAGGTCAGGGCTGGCCCCGGCTTTCAAAGGAGAGGAGGCGTTTCAAATGAAAGGCTGGAAATAATGGATTTCATGGCCTGCGTTAAAAAGGAAATAAATGAGAGATGGAAGGGAAAAAAACAGGGCTGAAAATTAATTAAAAAGTAAAGAAAGTGTACAATAATTCTGAGATGTATGTGTATGTGTAAAGTAGGAGATGTTAAAGTGCAGTTGTAGCACAGAAGCTGCAGATCCTGACAGTTAGTAATTGGTTTTATCAGCAGATGCTGAGGTCAGTGAACACATCAGGGAAGCTGGCTCCATCTCTTTAAATTTGTCAAGGCCAAAGCACTTTTACATTTTTTTTTTTTAACTTTTGTACTTTTCTTTTAATTAATCATTCTAATATCCTGTCGCTTTACTTCTAGTCCAGTGAAGTGCAGATGGATTGTTTTTAAAGCATAGATTCAACATTCTCTTAAAGTCAACTACAAATTATATTCATTTGTTAAATGACAACTACAAAAGCTTAAAGTTAACAAACATTGAGCAACAGTGCTACTTTGCCACTATGAAAATATAAAAAAGTGAAATGAAAGCTAAAAGTTAGGACACTTGGCCACATGTCAACTGATCTAATATATGTAAAAAAGAAAACAAATATCTCCAATTCTTCATCTCTATTTTGTATTGTGAATATATGTAGAGTCAGACAAAGTTCTTTTTTAATCCATGTGAAGAGGAGCAGACTGTACATCTGTCTCTGTCCACGCCTGAACACTAATGCTGTTAAACTCAGTTCAGCTCTCTATTTAATCTAACTCTGGATTTAAATCTCTTTGTCCATTGTCCCAGTACTGTAAGCTCCCGACTGCTAATGGTATTACTTGGATCAGGTCTATTGTATCCCTTATAAAGCTCAGTGTGTTGATTTCTAAAAGTCCATTTTTTATTTTATTTTACTTCTGAAATTTGAGCCAAAAAGCCCTAATCATGGCTGTAGACTGTGATCTTCCTGAACTTTCCTTTTTGGTCTCTGATTATCCAAAACTGCCCCAGTGAACATCTAATTGTCTCCAACCCAAAGTGACAAGCTGGGAGTCTGTTAGGTGGGAATGAGAGGCATCTGATCAAAGGAACCGAGAGCAGACAAGGCTCAAATCAAATTAGTTGTTGTTTTGATCCGTTTCTTTTGAAAAATTATGTAGATGTTCCAACTTCCTGTTTTACTGCATGAAAGAACAGAAGTCAGTGTGTAGTGAAAGGTCGGTTCTCTGCAGCCTTTTCTGTGATTTATTCCCTTGTTGATTGTCAAAACTCATGCTGTTTTAAACATGTGCTTGTTTTCTCTGAATGTCTCACAGGAAAGTAGACGAGTGTGGCTGAGATTAGGACTGAGGCAGCACGTCCTAATGATGGACTCTTAGACAGTATATGTGGCTTTTATACAGGATGGATGAATATCTTACATTGAAACTTTTTGAAACAGATTTTATTATTTAAAACAACTAAGGGAAGTTTTATTTAAGTGAACCAAGCTTCAGTTTTTTAGTTTATGTTTAAATAATACTGTAGTACACTGAAAACTGCACAGTTTTCTAAAGGTATTTTAACCTTCCATAGCTCAAGTCCTTGATTTAATTGAATTAAATATTTAGTCAAACATATAGCAAAAATAAATGGGTAAGTAAATATAAATAAATAAAACAGACAAATGTTAATGTAAGAAAAGGCAGAAAATATTTTATAACATTACTAAAATAAACACTAATGACTAATGAATAAAAAAAAGTTAAATATACCTAAAGTTATCCCTAAATAACTTTAAGATAAAGGACATTTATCGTGTCTATTGTGGTAGAATGGGCCACAAATAACCTGTCAACATGCCACGGTTGGCCCCTGAGCCAGGCTTTGGAGAAGTCTGCTTCAGAAGTAATAAGGAACATAAAGGGGGTAGAAAGACCCCAGAAGAATTGAAAAAGAGGAGAAAGAAATAAGTTGAGATGTGAGATTGTGTTGCCTGTGTGTGCACCGAGAATGATAGAGATAGAGATGCAGACGAGCAGTTCTGCTGCTCTCATCGCTTTTTTTTCCTGGGGGTTGGCATTGGCAGTGGTGGAGATGGGGGTGGAGGAGGGCTAGAAAGTTGATAAACAAGCATTTTGCAAAGAGTGCTGGCTTTGCTTTGGCAAGATTTGCATGTAACAGAGGAAAGTGAGGATAGAGACTGGAGAGAGACTGTTCACTACAGTACTGTATGTTGAGGTTCTAGGTCTGGGCTGAGAACTCCAAGGATTATACGGAATCTCCTTCTCCTCTTTCCTCTGATTCTTTTTAAATAGTTTGTTCCACCTTCTGACTTCACTCACAGGACACAGCTGGGTGCAACCACGTGGAGCCTCTTTGAATAAACGTACAGATCACAGATCGCTGAGAAAAAGAATAACACATATCTTCCAGTCCAGGCCAGAGATTCTTTGATGAAAAGATTTCACATTCTTAGTTGTAGCTTTCCTGACAAATTTCTGAATAATAATTAAAATGTTGTTATTTTTCTCCTTGGAATATGTTCACTATGTGAAGTATGAAATGTTATCCCTACTTCACATTAACACTCTTGAATAGAGCGGCTTCAGCGGCGGCACTGACCCAAACCTTGGGCCGTTTGAGTGTTTGTTTTTCTCCGAGATGTTATTGAGGAGTCAGTGGAACTCAAGGGCACTTCCTCTTTCAAACCACTGCTGCAGCGCACCGTCCTCAAGCCAGAGAGGTGAAAGCTAAAGGGGACGGAGCTTTATACATGTTCACTGTGTGTTCAATGAAGAGTCCGGTTTTAATGAACTACTTGGAGAGCAAGTAGAAGTATGTGGTATTGTAAAGAAAGTGTGCATTTTGAATCATAATATTAATGTCTGATCTATGATTTGGTTTGTGTCCTTAAGGAGGTTACTCTGGATGTTGTTGAGTTTTTTGCCCTTACCGACATGAGTTTGGTGAACCTAGTACGAAGTAAGGCGCTATTACAATAAATCCACTCTGTACCAAACAGAACCAGTTAGAAAAAAGAGCTACATATGATCATTTGGTCAGATGATGTCATAACAGTGCAAAAGCTCATGTTTTATCATGAAAATATAATCCCAGGAACACTGTTCTATTGCACCAACATGTTTTATTCAAATCATGTCGTATAAACTTCACCTGCAGCTTATCACCTTCTCCAAAATCACTGCTTTGCTTGCCCAAAACTGGGGATCATTTTTAGCAGCGCGCGTTCCCACATGTTGATCAGCTGCTCTATGTGAGCATCCTGACCTGGTGTTTAGGAAACACTACATTATTATACAAATAAAAAAAGGGAAAAGACAAGAGAGTGAGGGACGGGGGAAGCGGGAGGGGGAAAACAGCTTTGATTTATGCATGATTCATTATTTACTGACCATTCTTCACCAGCTCTCCCCCGTGCATCACCCACGCCCATCCCCCTCGGACTTTTATGTATATGAACCCCGAAAAGCACGATAAAAAAGTGCAAATTTGATTGATTCTAATAGCAGACTGACAGGCAGCCCAGCTGGGGCACTTAACCATGCTACTGTGTGTGTTTGTGCATGTGTGTGTGCATGTGTGTAGGACACACTCTTAGTTAATAAAGGAGTGCCTGTAGTATGCTCGAGTGCTCTGACCTTCCCCTCCCTCACTCACCTTTTCTTCTTTTACCAAAATCACAGCCACATCCTTTGGCTGTTGATGTCTGTGATAACCCCCCCTCCCCCGCCCCATATTTCCCCATAATTCATATTCAGATATTATTATTATTATTTTTTATCCTTAAATCTTTCCCTCTCTGTGTCTCATTTATTCCTCCTCTTTGACTCACTGTCATTTATTCCTTTGTGCTGTTAGAAAATGAGTTTCGGGGCGAGCTGGTGAACCAGCGGTGGACTAGAGGAGAGAGGACCAGCAGCCGCTGCCAGGCCTCCCAGAGACTGCAGAGCCGTCGACCAATCATGGTGAGTGACAAGGCTCAGCAGCGGCAGCAGCAGCAGCATTAACAGCTCACCACACCCCTACATCTACTTTCCAACCAGATTCTGCTTTCTGGGCATTTCACCAATCCCTAACTCAGCAGGGGGGAGTAAAAAGGGTGGAAGCAAATAGATGGGAGGGTGGGAGATGGACATGACAAATTGAAGATCAAATCTTCTTCTCAGCCCAGCCCATCCTGTTAAGACTCAGCCTAGCATTGTGTGGTTAAATACTGGATGGTAGAGATCTTCACATTCTAAATAAAATAATAAAATTATATATATATATTTATATATATATATATATAATTATAAAAATATTTTTTAGAATTGATGCAATTTTAACAGATAAGAAATGGCTATAAGTTATGAGACACTGGACACTGCATCCCCTCCAATCAGAGTTTACTTCAGCTGGTAAAGGTCAGCCTGGTGACAGATGAAGGAGAGGGGAGAAAAGAAGAGAAGAGAAATATGGCTGTAGTGAAGATGACCAAACAGGACAATGAAGCGTCCGACCTCCATCTATCCTTATTAGCATTAGCGTAGCTGAGTTTAGTTAAGCTCAGCAAGGAAGAGCTCAGCTGCTGACTTCACTTCACTTCAGAGGTTTTTTTCTTCTTTTCCCTCTTCTTCTATTGACTCACTGTATAAAAAAAGAAACTCAAAAGCCTGTCCTTGAGCTGCTCATACCTTTTGTCCATGATATCCCTCCTTATCTATGGCGTTCAAATGCGCGCACATGCACGCACACACCCCTTTAGTCACTTTAACTCACTCTGCCATTTGAAACCTGTCTCTTCTCGTTTTTTAAACCTGATTATAAAACTGTTTTGACCCAAAACTGCCAGGATGTGAAGGTTATTTTCACATTCTGAAAACATCTGGCGCTTTTTTCTCCCTTCTGTGTGCAACTGAAGTAAAGGGTGGCGTTTGACAAAGAGACAGAGGGATTGAGGGGAGATTGAAGGAGAAATGAGCATGAGTGTGTGTGCACGCGTGTGTGTGTGTGTGTTAGTTGTTTTTCCCCTGGGTCCTGTAAAAGTAGTTTTGCCCCTCCCTCCCCCGATGGCTTGGGTTCATCTGAAAAGATGACTTTTATTGATTTGGTTTTGTGCACGCGCTGAAGAGAGAGAGAGAGACAGAGAGAGAGGGAGAGAGAGAGAGAGAGAGCACATTAGTTACCAACACTACATCATTCATTTCCTTGACTTTTTACCAATAGCACCTGTCACACTGTTATCTGTTATTTCTTTGACCAGTGGCTCCAAATAGCAGCGTATAAAGTAACTTCTAAATCTGATAAAGTGTTCCAGTCCCAGTCACCCAGTTTTAAACAGTTGTTCCTGTTGACGTAGACTTCCTTCACATATAAGGTCAAACACGTAAGACAATTCCAGGTTTTGCCACATTGGAAAGCAGATGTTCAGTCTACTGTATGTTAATCACTCACACTTACTGACTCTTGAATTTGCAGTAGGAGATCAAGAAATGCAGCCAGAGTTTGGTAAAAGTCCATGCAAACATAAGCAAAAGTTGACAAACTAACATCATAGGATCTAAACAGCTAAAAATGGCTAATGGTTATAGATAATAGTTAGCTCAGAAATACCTCAAATAGAGATAAACGACAATCACAACAATTTGCCCTGGAGTTGATTCAAAATATAATTTTTCTTCCGTGACTTCAGCCATTAGTTCCACCATATGAACCAGTCCAGTCTAATTAGCACCGTTAGCTCCGGGGCCAAACTTTAAACACGCGTCCTACATACACAAAAACAAAACCACCTGAATAAAAAATCATTCAGAAATGTCTGAAATCCCACCAATCCTGACATAATCGTGGTCAAACACATATGAAAACGGGTGTCTCCTCCTCCTCCTCTTCTTTCTCCTCCTCACTGCTGCACTCTGTGAATTATTAAAGTAAATCTGAGGTAAGAGATGTGGAGTCTGAGCAGCGTGGTTCGTCCATCAGGTGAGAGTGTGACATTACCATATTAAATAATCAGCGGATGTGCTCTCGAACGTTCAGGTTCTGTTAATCTGCATCAGCAGGTGGTAAAACCAGTACTTCACTTCTTCCTGGTTGTTGTTGTTGTTGTTGTTGTTCCAGTTCTCCTGCTGCCTGTATCTCAGCTCCACCTTAACCCCAGCTTTCCTTCGTTGGTTCTTGTAAACCCGAATATGAATAAAAGAGTCATTTATGTGCACCAGGAGACGAGTGGTGACCTTCTCCGTGAAGTCATTGCCCCCGGCCAGCCATTTACATAGAGCTGTCAGAATGGAGAGCAGGGCTTGGCTCCTCCTCCTTTGGCTCCTCCTCCTCCTGCTTCTGCCCCTGCAACACAAAGAAGGACATAATTGATAATGTACAGCACAGCCTGTAGGGACGAGCCTCCTCCTCCTCCTTTTTCTTATTCCTCTTCTGCTGCTCAAAGCCACATTTACACATACTAGTTACACACACAGAGTATTCTTGTAGGAACACCAGTTTGGTCATCAGATTTGCTGCTCCTCAGTCATGATGCCGTCCATGATGGTTTGCTCACAATAGCTACCTCTGCTCAGCACCACTCTAAGATTGCCTCCTATTTTAGTTGATAAATCATTGCCCAGCCCTTCTGAGCCTGCAACGCTCATTCCTGTTTACTTACTATTTATTATAAACAGCTATGTGTATCAGAAAAGGTCATTCTAAGATTGGTTGAGGTGAAAGGTGTCCTGGGTAATCGGTACCCATGTTAGAAATGTTACTGAAAAGCACTATATAATATAATCAGTAGTTGTCACACCTCAGTCTTTACCTACAGTTTTCCCTCTTCTTTTCTTCTTTGCCTGTTTGGCATTGGACATTGTCAATAATGACCGCCAAGGCGCGTACTGTACATCATTCAACGTATTTTAATTAAAGGACGACAAAGTAAAGGTGAAAGGAGGGAAGAAAAAGGAGAGGAAAAGAATATCAGATAATTGCTTGGCAGCCTGCATGACTGGCTGTGACTTTATGTTCATAAAAATTTAATGAGCTGGGATTGAGAAGAGGGACAGCACAGAGACAACTCAGATGTGTTTACCTATTTAAATGTGTGTAACTATGGTTACACAAACATGAAAGCAAAAGAAGCCCTTTTCAGTCCAGGTCCTGATTGGGTATTTATTATGTAAGGAGTGAGAGGGGCAAGAGCAGGAGGGGGAGGAGGAGGACAACGAGGAGGACAAAGGAGAATTTAGTGATGTAGATTATTTTCATGTTTTGAAATTAATCTCTTAGCTTCCTCTAGTTTGATTATATATTTATTATTATTATGATTTTATTTTCAAGCTTGTTATAAAATGCAGTTGAATTTGAATTCATTTGAGAACAACTTTCACTTATATGTGAATACTCTTTTTTCTAAAACAACTATTTTAAGCTAACCATCTAAGTTATGACAACGGTGACCAGCCGCAGATTACATTTAAATCTGACTATATAAATAGACTCATTCCCTCGTGTTCTTGACGCAGCAGTTCACCTTTCTCATCAATGACAATCAGCCTCGTTAGCACAGAACCTTGGGATGGAGGACGGAGACTGCACGGGTCCTGACGAGTTCATGGTTTACACCGGAGGAGGTCCTGAGGAAGTCACGGGCGGAGTGAAAACTCTTCAGTGATCACTTATCTGCTCCTCGTGAGTGGAGCCACAGAAGGAGTCAACTGCTCCTCCCGGGCTGAGCACAAAGCCGCTGCTTGTTGATCGACTCTTTACATTAACAGAGCCGAGGAAGGCAGACAGGCGGAGCTTGTTCCTGGACCTGTACCTCCGGCCAAAACTAAAAACTCATTAATGAATGAATAAAGCAGACTTTCTTGGCGTTAAAAAAACACACAAGAGGGACAAAAGCTCTTAAGAAGAACAACAAGAGTGTGCTTCATCCTCTCTCTTTTCAGAAGTAGTCTATTAGCAGGAAAGGGGCTCTGCCAAAACGAATGAAGACGGGGAAAAACTGAGAAAAGAGAGAGAGAGAGAGAGAGAAGGGAGTTGGTGTTTGAATCCCACTGTGGCCGTGCCAACTTTGCTGTAGACAAAGGCAGCTGAGGGCCCAAGATAGGGAGGGATGCAATTGGTGGTGGCTGTGCAGTAGGATGCAGGATGAAGAGAGAGGTTTTGGGGGGTGAGAGTGAGTTGAGTAGGGAGAAAGTGGAATGACAGGGGGAGAAAAGGGGGAGACCTAAGGATAAAAAATATAGTCTGGTAATCAAAGCTAATGGCTTCATTGTGTCCAAAAAGGTTCTGATAGCTCCACTGTGCACAGTGTGTGTGTGTGTGTGTGTGTGTGTGTGTGTGAAAGGCACTGGGGTTAACACCTGCTCCTTTGTGGCTTAAAAGCCAAGCCAGGAGTAAAAGAAGCAGCAGGCACAAGGAAACACACTCAAACACAAATTCAATATCTCACACACCCACACACACCCACACACACACACCCACACATACACACACTTCCACTTAAAAGGGCTATTACTGTGGCTTTTTAGCAGATGCTGTGTTTTTGCTTTATTATTATTTTCAGCATATGATTGTCACTCCCGCTGCTCAGAGGGGCCACGGCCCCTGAGCGAGGGCCGCCTTTTCTCCTGGGCTCAGCGTACAATCATGTGTAGCACTCAGGTGCAGGAAATTACAGGGAGAGTAAATCGTACGAGTGTCAGAGCAGCGCGGGGAGGAGGGAAGGGAGGTGATTTGAGAGACGTTTGTACAACAACGTTCGGTTTTTTTTTTTTTTCTTTCTCTGAGCCACAAACCTTTATTTCTGTCTTTATTTGGGTGAAGAGAGCAGGTTTTACTTCCTGCCATGACAAAAACAGGTGAGCAGCCGTAATGACTTTTTTTTGTAGTCCCTGTTACATTCATTTAGCTTTAAAGGGTTAGTCCAAGTTAAAGGTTAAAGTTTGGCTCTTAGGCATAATAGCACAAGTGTTTTACAGCCAGAGAAAATGGAGCTGCCGCTCAGGACAAAAGGAAAGGATTGTAGCTGAATGACAAGAGAAGCTAGTTGACAAAATGCTTATAAAAATCAACCACCACAACAGAACTATCCTCCTAATATCTTGTGCTATTTGATTTTTGCTAAACAAAAACAACAACAACAATAATAAAATATATTATATCATTCATATTCATATATATATTAATTTAAACTGAACTAAAATTATATTGTTCTACGTAAACAAACTGAAACTCAACTACATTTAACTGTCCCTTTTACTTGGAGCGTAAACTTCTTTCGTTTCATTTAAAAAGTGGAGCTGAACTAAACTCACGTTTACCTGACTCCATTAACTCCAGAGTTAAACTGAATAAAACCATCCCAACATGAGTAATAGTTTACAAAAACAAACTAAAATACGTTTGTCTGAACACTTAAAACTGACAACGCGTTACGAAAAAAACAAACAAAAAACAACTAAACCCAACTACCGCCAACACAAGATTCTTAGCTAAGAACTAAAAGGTCTTCAATAATTTAAAAAAAAAACTAAATTACTTAATATTAAACTTCTTCATTAAACTGAAAAACAAAACTAACCGTAACCGAAGCACATGTAAGTGTTACTAACTACCGTGCAACAACGGCAGTTGTCCTCAACTAAGAACAAAGGATCATAAACATTAAAGCCAGGATGGAGTTGAACCTTTGAGTAAACACCGAAAGGAATCAAACTCTCCTGTGCCTTTGATCTTCAGCTTTGCTTCCTGGACTCCTGGTCAGGGAAGTCACACAAACTCTAGTCTCCAGTCAGTTCTTTAAAACTATTCTATCACAGCCGTATTATAGACTGTTTGCCTAAGTGCTGTATTTTCTGGTGTATCCACTGCCAGCCGTGTTGTCAGCGAACCAGCGTCCAGTGTCTCAGCCTGATCTGGACTCAGACGGTGGCCTGTTTACTGAAATCACACCTGACAAGGTGTCAGTACGCCACACATCAAATTGAGTGAAGGGAATTTTTTCAGAAACAGAGGAAGGAACTCACCTGTTTTTCTTTTCTCTCTCTCTCTCTCTCTCTCCTCCCTCTCAGATGAGTATAGAGACTGATGACAAGCGGACTCGCACGCGGTCCAAGGGAATCAGAGGTGAGTGTCATCTCTCTGGCCATGGTATTTAGAAGCACTTCCTGTGATTGTGACTCTGCACACATACAGTGAATAGGGTGGAAGAAGAGGAAGGGGCTGGAGTTAGAGTCTGAAAAGGGCAGCAGCCAATCACAGAGCTGACATATACAGACAAACAACCATTCAATTAACCTTCTTTGGACTTCAGCTTTTCCGTCTCAATCCAGACAAAGTTGACGATTTAAACTCCAAGAAGTTCATGTTTATTAACGGAAAAAAACACTGCTGCTACCCCCCACAATGCAAAGCGTTTTGGTACATTTATCTCTCACTTCACACGTCTTTGTTTGATTAGTAATGGAATTCAGTCAAAGACGTCCATTTTGAAAATATTTCTGTTAAAAATATATATATTACAATTATTATAAGGCAGATATTTCAAGGAAATTAGAAGTTGGCCTAGAAAAAGATCAAAGCCAGCAATTACAAGTATGTTGTGAAAATTGTCGGTTAAAGCTTTTTAAAACAAAGCAAAGTGACAACTTCAAGTCAAGATAAAATAAATAATAAATAGAAGAAAAAGACACCGTGAATTAAAATTCTGTCTGAAACACTTTGGCCGTCGAGATAATAGATAATAGATAATCACCACAGATGTAATTCATACTTTTGCCTACAGGAAAAATGAATGTCAGGACAGAAATAGAGCCAATGAAATAAAATGATCTAAAGATGGTCAGATCTGGCCCCTGTGTGAACTGTACAGTCGGTGATTTAAATACAGACTTTTTACACCACTCTGAGGCAGTTCTCTGCCTCTGTCATCGTGAAAAAGAATAACTTTCATAGGTTTGAGTTTAAATGTATCAGACTTTAAAGTGTAAAGTTCACCCTGAACAATGTTTCATCAGTTTTTCGTCAGATTTGTTTTGCAATGCAGGATAAAACTGCACTGATGCTCCCCATTGTGTTGCTTTTACCTCAAGCCTTCTGCTCAGACCTGCAGATCTTGTCAATAACTTCAACCTTCTGAACCAAATCTTACTGCGCCTCTTCTCCAAATCGTACAATGAACTCTTACATTGTATTTGACAACCAACACAGATAAATATTCAATGAAATGAGAGAGAAACACAATCTCACTGTGAAAACTACAACAGTTTCTCACGAGATCTTCCGCCCCTCTGTGTCAGGAAGTACTAAGAAGAAAAGTTTTTGAAAAGCAATTTTTTTCTTTCCTTATATATATATATATATGTGTGTGTGTGTGTGTACACCCATGTTTTTGATGTTTAGAAGTAAGACAACGGAGCTACAGTTCACTGGGTGTTCAGGAAGACGTCCAGTCATTTCAACTGCATGATGAAAGAGCAAGAAATAGACGTGTGTGTTTGAGAGAGAGAGAGAGAGAGAAAGTGTGAGAGAGAGTTTTGTGTGTGTGTATGTATTGCTGATATTCTGACCTTTAGTGACCTACTTTTCCCGAATGCGGACCCTGACCTGCTGCAAAAACTGTCCCTTTTCTAGTCCCTGCTCCAAAGATTGGTCGTAAAAGTCCGGCTGCAGATAAAAGACACACGTCTTCTGTTGTGAAGGTTAAAGTGTAGTTTGAAATAAACAGAAGTGACTGTAAGATCTTAAAATAGCCCGGTGTGTGTGTGTGTATGTGTGTGTGTAATATCTACGCTTTTGAATATCCTGATACCCGTGCTCTTTCTGACATGTGATTAATGCATGTGATACCAGAGCCAGGACTGAATTCTCCAGGATGGTATTGTTTTCTCGTTTACTCCAAATGAAAATAGGATATTTCTCCAAACTCAATCTATTGCTCGGATTCCAATCGATGCTTATAGCTCTAGAAAGAGCACACACACGCGAGATGTGAGTGCGTGCGTGTGTTTGCAGAGCTCTGCTTGATTTATGATTTGAGGCAATTACACTAAGTTGGCCCTGAAAGAAGTGCTGTTTTCCACTGATGACGGCACTTTTCCCTTTTAATTTCATTTTCCCAATTATGATAACTAAAGTGCAACAATTAATCATGCTTTATCGCTGCAGTCTGCATATAATGTCACTTTTTTTCCCCTGTATGCAAGTCGGCTGATTTACATTTTCCTCCGTAGCCTGTGCTTCTGTTTGTGTTGTTTGTGTCATTTATGCTCCCAGTTTGTTTTTGTGTTTGCTTTCATGAACAGGAATATTTGTATTTATGTGTGTGTGCGTGCGTGAAGTCAGGAGCGTGTAGGCGTTTGTCTTTTCTCTCATGATCTTGGAGTCAGCAGTGTGTACGCCGAGGGTCTCTTGGGATTTGTATGCATTTGTGATTTATTGATCTGAGTTTCTTTTAGCAGCAGCACCGTTTTCTGAGCAGTCATTCACCTTTGTTCTCCCTCCTTCTGTCTCTTTCTTCTCCTCCACCTCCTTCTCTATCTGTGTTTTTTCTTTTCCCAGTTCCTATCGAGCTGGTAGGACAAGAACTGAGGTAAGGAAACACCTTCATGTTTGTGCAAACAAACACACTTCTACACCTGCACCTCACAGAACCAACCTTCCCGACTCTTGCACAATCACATTTAAACATGTCGTAGCGTATGTATGTATCTTTATTATTATTCCTTATCATCTGCGCCTCTCATTGCCCCTGTGAGGCTGTTATTGATTTCCTACAGTGTTTCGATATTTCCTTTCTATGAACACATAAAAGCAGGTGCAATGAAATGGGCGAACGATCTTTTTGAAATCTGAGCGCAGTTTAGAGCAGGAGGAGAGAGAGGACACTGGAGAAAGATTTAGTTTCCCCCCTCTCTCTCTCACTTTGTCCTACTCATCTCCGTCAGTGTTTTCTATAACCAGGACTCAACAGGAATGAATCCAACAGTCCTCAGGCTCTGAGGACTGTTGGATTCAGCAGCTTAATCAGTTTCCGTGACCTATGAACGTCCTTTTTTTATTAGCTTACTTATCCTTGTGCCCTTGTGTGTTTAAAAATGTAACTTTTAATAACATGTTATTATTAACGCCTCTTTTCATCAGTTTTAATTAATGTTGGAAACTATGTTCAACAGACAGTATGAGGCTGTTCAGGATCATTTCATGTAATTATAAGCTAAGGTTTAGCTGTTTTGTTAGGAAACTTTGAATCTACCTTTTTTCATTCAAATAGTGGATAAACTGATTTAAAAAAAAATCCAAGGGAGCATCATAATATTTTGTAACTGACTCTGACTGTTCTACACTGCAGCATTTTGTTATATTTTTGTTTTTCATAGCTAGTTTCTCATTATGTTAATCTAATGTTATTCATTGAAAATAATGTGTAACTAAAGTGGATAATTTCCAAGAAAATTATTAGAAATTTAGAAAACAATTGTTCTCTCCAATTATTGTTCTGTCACACAATCACAACTTTTTTTTCCTTTCCTGAATTGTGTAAAAACCTGCAGCCAAACCGCAGGCCCAAAAACATCTCGTTTGAATTGCAAATGCAGTGTTATTTTAATAAGCAAAATTAATAATTAGGATAATTTGAGTAATGAAGGGCAAATGCTGAAGGACAAATATAAGAAATGAAAATGGATTGTCCTGGGGGGGTCAAGGGAACCTGAAACACAGCTAGAGTGAGGGAGAGAAAATGGAGAGAACAGGAGCATGTGATGATGATGATGATGTTGATGATCATGATGATGATGATGATGATGGGTGGTGAGGAGAGCAGAGAGGGGAAATTACAGCAGGTCTCTGCCGATTCTTATCACTCACAGTAACAGGATATAGGCCAGGCTTGATGAACGACACACAATATGATGTTCTCTCCTGCCTGACGCCACCTGCATTCATGCATTATGTGTGTCTGGGGGAGGGGGGAGTCATATCTTTGTGCATGTGCATTTGTGTGACAAGTGTGTTCACTTTGCATGTTTGTTGCTTTGATTTGATTGTTTATCTCATTCTTTTATTCTGCTTTTATTGCCTGCTGTGGTTGATGCTGCTTTTGCAAAGAGAAAAAAAAATGCACCATTGCCTGTGTTAAAGCATTGCTCTAACCTCCATCCATCTCATCCAGCTGCCCCACCCCTGGATGCAATGGCTCCGGCCATATCTGTGGGAGATACTCACGACACAGAAGGTAGGGCAGATGAAAAAGGAACTCCACCCTCTGTCTGTCCTTCCTCTCTGTCTCTCTGTCCTCCTCATCCTCATCCTCTCTGCCCGGGGGAAAAGTATCACATTTCACTACTTTAAAGCATCATTTGTGGGATATTTTTTTGGGCGGGGGACCATTTATGTATTTGTTGCTCTGGGGGTTAAGGTTAGATGAACAGATCAATACCACTCTCATGGAACAGAATATGAAGCTTCAACAAGTTGACTTAGCTTGGTATTTGTTTCTTATTATGTCTCTTTATCTGTAGCCTTTCCTGTTCTGAAGTCATTTTTGTGTTGGGCACAAGCAACCACTTTTAAAGGCAGTAGACATTTAAGGTGGTTTTATCAAGTCATATGAACTGCTAAACATACACCACAACCTACTATTGGATCCTGACTCGCAGTTTAAAGATTTCCTTTTTTGATACATATCATTAGGTTCTGTTTTCTGTTTACTGTATTCACGTCAGTCGCACAGGGATTTTTCAAAACGTCAGTTTCAGGAGTCTAAAAGCGCAAAATAATTTCCATGCCAAGCAGTGAAATGTGATTCCTCCAGGTCGCCCTCCCCCAGCTTCATACTCCCTTCACACCTTCCCTGTTTCCATCCTTCTTTTCTTCATCCCTGGTCCGTGTCCCCCGCCTTCAGAAACGCAGCGAGACTCGGGGCGGCTCACTGACTTGTGACTCCTCCTTATTGAGGGGCAGATATTAGCTATCTGTTTACATGTGTATTCCTTCAGCAGGCAATTTCAGATGCACTTTGTTTATAGATCATCCCTCAATCTCGCTCAGCGTCTCCCAGGTGAGAATCACAGGGACTATATTGGATTTTCACCCTCCGCTGCTTCGCCCGCCCGCGTTCCCACCTCTTCATACAAGTGTTTCATTAAACGTTCCACTCAATTGGCTGAGACTGGTTGTGATGTCTGAGAGGGCAAGCGAATTTGGTGCCCCCCTCGGGCGACATGTTTCAACTGATGGTCTCTGTTGAAACGCACACTTTAGACACATAAAAGTTTAGATAAAGATTACTTAAATACTTCCAATAGCAATGGATATTGAATGATAGAGAATACTGCCCTAAAAAATATTGTAACCAGTTCAGCTCTGATTCCTATCCTGTCCACAACCTATGATTCTCTGCTTGTTTCTTTACACTTCTCTTCTCCTCCATCAGTGTTCTGGGCTGCCCTGTAGCTAGAAAGCGTCGGCTGGAGGAAACAGAGACCGATCAGGAGCAAGAAAGACCAGCCTCCAAGAGGAAGTCTTACCCTCTAAAACTGGCCCTGGACGAGGGCTTCAGTGCAGAAAGCGACGCCAGCAGCGAAGCAGAAGGCGAGGTAGAAAAGGATGGAGAGAAAGAAGGAGAGGCCAAAGAGGTGGAGCAGGAGGAGCAGCTTGATGTGGACCAGAAGGAAGAAGAGGAGGACAAGATGATAGTGGAAGCAGCAGAGGAAAAAGAAGAAATGGCAGAAAGCTTCGTGCAAGATGGACAGACCAATGGCGAGGAAGTGGAGGTGCTGAGTCCACAGTTTGAAGACCAGGAGACGAAAGGAAAAGACGCATATCATGATGACAAGACTGCATACACAACTGATAAAGGTGAACCTCTCCCCCACTTTACTCCCCTGTTACAGCTTTGGGTTTTGGTTTGTTATTTAGAGAACATTCTTTCGTTTGGTCAGGGTTCTCCCATGCGTGGAGCATCTGGCAGCTAGGTATCAGTGGGCTTTCTATTCAAGTTGCATGCCAATGTGGACATGGTCCAAGACATTTAAAAAATAAATACAGCCAATAATACGGCATTCAAAAACACTGGGTACCAGCGGTACAATTAAACAAACAAACAAATAATTAAGTAAACCAACAAAGAAACAGACAAGGGAATTAAATCCAACACTGTTTATATTATATTATACAGTTGTAGAGCACAGTGCACTTTATCACTGTGGTATTCAAACTTGTACTCTTACAAGGAACTGGAATTATGACTTTGCTAATGAGCTTTTTCCCTCTGTTATCTGTTTTATGTGAGTATGAGCTCATGCCGAGTGACTCTGCAGTCCAAAAGCTAGTGATGACAAACATAAGGCTGACAGCATCTTAAATTCACTCTCTGACTCACACTCTGACCTCTTCACCTTTGTTTCTATGGCAGATGAAGAGGAAGAGGAGGAGGAGTGTGTGATCATTGAGCATGAGCTCACTGCAGCTCCTGCACCTGCATCTCAGGATTCTCCTGCTGTTCCAAAGAACACTGTAGATTTGGATAACTCTCTCCACCACAACCAACACACTTCTGATGACAGTGCTCCCAGTTTAACCTCGCAGAGGCCTGTTGCCATGGAGATGGGAAACGATGTCAGTGTGCCCGAAGATGTAAAAGAGGAGCCAGAGGAGGACATGATTAAGGAGGCACAGAGGGAGACAACACACGGAGTTCAAGTGCTGCAAGAGTCATTAACTGTGAAGAAGGAGGAGATGGCTGAAGTTGAGAGAGCTGAAGTTGAGGAGGAGCAGGAGCAGGAGCCTGGAGAGTATGGGGACGGGAGCAACCACATGAGCCAGGTGAACCGCCAGTATCAGAACACGCACCGTCTGAAAGATGAGGAGGACCACAGGGACCACGCTCCGCCCAACACTGATGTGCCAACTGCCGTCCGCACCATCACCAGCATCGCAGCAGCTCAGGGAACACACATTAAGACTGAAGACCACAGGGAGGACTTTAGTGCACACAGGGCCTCTCCTCTGGACATATGTGAATCTGACAGACACAGCCCTCCTCAGAACTACAGGGCCAGCCCTCCTTCAAGCTACAGCTCCCACAGGGCCAGTCCGCTGGAGGAGTACTTTCCCAATGCCAGAGCTGAGAACTATAAAATCCACCAAGCCTCTTCCTCAGCCTCTCCAGACATTATTGAGGTGGGATCGGACAGGTCAAACAATAAGGACTTCGATGATGTGGATGGAGACGACGAACGTGATGATGAAGACAGCCTGTCGCAGCGGTCCACGGTGACAGATGAGTCTGAGATGTTCGACATGTCCAGAGGAAACCTGGGTCTACTGGAGCAGGCCATTGCTCTGAAGGCAGAGCAGGTGAAGTCAGCTGGACCCAGGGAGCTTCTCCGAGCACCAGATATCCACCACCAGCTTTACTTCACCATGGAGGACAGACCCAAACATCTGGATATCCTACGCAAGAGCTACTTTGGCAAAGGTAGGAACCACGTTTAATCTATCAGTTAATTTAGAGAGAACTTGAAATACAAAGGATTTGTGTTTTTTACGAGCTCTGCGAAGGTTCTCAGTCATCAAGCTAGATTTCATTCTTAGAGGAGGTTAAAAGAAGGCAAATTAAACTGAATTAAGCTGAAGTGTATTGTTGGATGTGGATCTCTGAAGTGAGGGAGTTACGAGTTAATCAACTGGAAAGTACAAAAACAACCTGTGTCATCTCTAACACAGAAAAGGAGAGGAGGAAAACACGGTCCTGTGTGTCCTCCAGGTACAGAACGTCACGTAATAAAGCACTGCACGGCCTCATGTGCTTAACCTAATGTTGACGCCGTAGCACAAATAAACAGTGTCCAATAAAGAGTGATGAGTCACCGAGCTGCACTTGGATTGGTCCCTTCCAATTGCGTGGATGTGAAGTGACTTCAGCTGATTAGTTGTGATTGGAAGGGAGGAAGAGAGAAGGGGGGAGACAACGAAGAGACATAGAGGAGGGCAACATGAAGGGAGAAACGGGGAAGGAGCCGAGGCTGTTAGGAAGAGTTTGTTTACATCCTTCATGTGTCGAGGCCTTGTATTTCACACTTGGCACCCAGCCCACTTGTCACACTTCTCGCGGTATAGCTGCGCTGTGATTACACGCCTGCTAGTGCTGCCCTCTCCTTGGCCCCAGCTCGCTCCCGTGGCGACGTCCCTGTTCTGCTCAACACTAATTAGGAGATGCATGTCTCATTAACATTCAATTTGAGGGCCAATAGAGCATCCTAGCGTCCTCTCGCTACTTTCCTCCGTCTCTGCTGCCGCTGTTACTCACATGCCACAGTCGCAGCGGGAAGGGAAGAAATGTAGGTGTCTTTAATTACCTTAGGTGTGTATGGCTGCGGTGACCTATTTGATTTTTTCCACGAGATCTAGGTGTAATACCTGAAAGTACGAAATGCGATGAATCTAGATTAATGTTTCTCAAAGAGTGGTTCATGTCCCCAAACCTGCCCCCTCTTTTTAAGTTGTTTGGGTTCTACTTCTTTACTTACTCTTATCCCTGTGAGTTTTTCAGCGGTTCACATTTTTGAGCACTTTTTGCTGCGTTTCTCTGCATAATTTTAAATCTTGAAAATGTTAAAAAACGTATTTACCTTCGCAAATAACATAATTTTCTCTAACTATATGTTTTATAGTTACAAAAATCTAAATACTCTGAAATAATTGGAGTTACTACTGTATCAAAAGTAAAATGGATAG